GGGCAACATGTCGATTATCACTTGTAAGTCGCTTTGGACAAAAGCGTCTGCTAAATACATAAACATAAACATATCTGGGACTCAGGATTAACAAAGTGTCATCTGAGATTTTAACAACCTGAATATTTTAAATACATCACAGGATAATCATTAGTAAGTTATTCTGAGAAAGAACAGAGATGCTTTTTGGACAAAAACTATTGCTTATGATCGCTAAATAGGTTGAAACTATTTTGAATAAAGGAAGGTGGACATTTAAAGTTCAGCAGAGACAAAAGAAACACTCGTAACAGGACAACCGTTGTTTTTAAATCACAACATCCAGAGCTTTTGAATTCCTCAAACATGTGAACAGTAGTAAAGGACTGATTCACCCGCTGAGACCAAGCAACTAGACTAACCCTAACCCGAGTGCCCACATCAGGCTGCCAGCAGAGCTCTTTACTTTACAGCTGAAGGAGAAAGACTCAGAGTTTCTATAGAAACGCTCGGTGCAGGTTATACATCACAGCTACAGGCAGCACCAGCAGCTGGGATGAAAACAGGCCAACCCTGAGGAGCAGAAGCGGTCAATGACCAAATCCATTCAAACGTATGACGGTAAGTCGGCGTAGGGCTGGGCGATATGGCAAAAATAGAATATCACGATTTTTCCAATATTTTATTACGATTTCAATTTTATCACGATTTTTTATCCATGAATAGCATAACTTCAATTGCGTATTAAAGAAGAGAAACACTGAATAAATAAACATTTATTCATATTAGGGATAATCAGCACAGTGCTAACACACTTATATTTTAAACTCACACCAGAGATGATAAAAGCCCTGAGAGAAACTATTACAAAAATCAGTTTTTCTCGTTTTTCAAGTAACTTAACATAAATTAAAATGGTAAACATATTTAAAGTGCAAACATGTCAATTGCAAACGTATTGTGCAAACATGAACTTGTTCAAAATACTATGTAGCTCCCAGTTGCTCATGTAGTGGATAGTTAAGCTCAAATACGGCTCTGATGTGCGGCTGGACCAGAGATCGCTTGTGGCAGCAAATAACTGCGCATTCTGAATATTTTCTGCAACTCTCACTTTGCATTCAGCGTACATGCGTGGCATGGCTCTCCATATATTTAACTTTAATACAGACGACACTTTAGTCACTTTATTCACTTACTCAGTGTTTTTTGCATATTTTTCGGTTTAATCCATCTTCTTGCTGCTTTATATCTTATTGCCTATTTATTCAATGTTCGTATGTCCAACATCATGCTGCGCTGTTATTTTTTTAATTGCCCCTCGGGGAAAAAGTTTTTCTGATTCTGATTCTGATCTTGACTCGCCTTACCCGTTTTATCTTCATTTGAAGTTAAAGACCGCGAGCTTGTTTGAGAAAACAGGTGCTCATTTTTGCACATTTAGCTGCATCCGTTTCCAGCGCTTTCTTCTTTTTAATTCTTGCCTTCTCCGCGCCACCCTTGCTCTTTCTACTTTCCATCTTTCCATCAACTGCGTGTCACGTGGTGCGCACAGGTGCATACAGGAAAAAAAAATAACGAGCTGCAGCCTGCAGGTAGAGCCAGCCAGAGACGACCGGGAGGAGCGTATGAGATCAGCCCGGCGGCCTCAGTGCCATGACTGAACGCCGGCACCAAAAAATAAAAATAAAATGATAAAAAACAAAAATGAGAGCACTGGCCCATGCGGCCTAAACATTGCGCGGCCCACCGGGAATTCTCCTGACCCTCCCGATTAGCCACTCCGGGCCTGCGTTCCTCTTCGGAACGAAAACCTCGTTGTCGCTCGCAGCCACGGCCAAAGCCATGTTTGTTCACACACAGGTGAAAACAAGCGGGGCACTAATATATTACTATGACTCACTCTGATTGGTTAAGGGTCAAACAAAGGCGTGTCATTCGCCGGAGGTAAGTTCCCTTTTCATTCAGAGGCAGAAATTCAACAGCAGAGCTGTGAATTGTGATAAAAAGGTCTCTCAAAAAAGACAGACCATCAGATGTGTAGATCGTAAAACGGTCTAAAATCGTCATATCGCCCAGCCCTAAGTCTGGGGCAGCACGGATCCACGGGTCTTAGAAAAAAACCCTATAGAGTTAGCTAATACCAGCGGTGAGCTACAGAAAAACCCCTACAGAGTTAGCTAATACCAGCGGTGAGCTACAGAAAAACCCCTACAGAGTTAGCTAATACCAGCGGTGAGCTACAGAAAAACCCCTACAGAGTTAGCTAATACCAGCGGTGAGCTATAGAAAAACCCCTACAGAGTTAGCTAATACCAGCAGTGAGCTATAGAAAAACCCCTATAGAGTTAGCTAATATCAGCGGTGAGCTATAGAAAAACCCCTACAGAGTTAGCTAATACCAGCGGTGAGCTATAGAAAAACCCCTATAGAGTTAGCTAATATCAGCGGTGAGCTATAGAAAAACCCCTACAGAGTTAGCTAATACCAGCGGTGAGCTATAGAAAAACCCCTATAGAGTTAGCTAATATCAGCGGTGAGCTATAGAAAAACCCCTACAGAGTTAGCTAATACCAGCGGTGAGCTATAGAAAAATCCCTATAGAGTTAGCTAATATCAGCGGCGAGCTATAGAAAAACCCCTATAGAGTTAGCTAATATCAGCGGCGAGCTATAGAAAAACCCCTATAGAGTTAGCTAATATCAGCGGCGAGCTATAGAAAAACCCCTATAGAGTTAGCTAATACCAGCGGTGAGCTAAAGAAAAATCCCTACAGAGTTAGCTAATACCAGCGGTGAGCTATAGAAAAACCCCTATAGAGTTAGCTAATACCAGCGGTGAGCTATAGAAAAACCCCTATAGAGTTAGCTAATACCAGCGGTGAGCTACAGAAAAACCCCTACAGAGTTAGCTAATACCAGCGGTGAGCTATAGAAAACCCCCTATAGAGTTAGCTAATTAGCTAATATCAGCTGTGAGCTACAGAAAAACCCCTATAGAGTTAGCTAATACCAGCGGCGAGCTATAGAAAAACCCCTATAGAGTTATCTAATTAGCTAATATCAGAGGTGAGCTATAGAAAAACCCCTATAGAGTTAGCTAATTAGCTAATATCAGCGGTGAGCTACAGAATAACCCCTATAGAGTTAGATAATTAGCTAATAACAGCGGTGAGCTACAGAATAACCCCTATAGAGTTAGCTAATTAGCTAATATCAGCGGTGAGCTACAGAATAACCCCTATAGAGTTAGCTAATTAGCTAATATCAGCGGTGAGCTACAGAATAACCCCTATAGAGTTAGCTAATATCAGCAGCGAGCTATAGAAAAACCCCTATAGAGTTAGCTAATTAGCTAATATCAGCGGTGAGCTACAGAATAACCCCTATAGAGTTAGCTAATATCAGCGGTGAGCTATAGAAAAACCCCTATAGAGTTAGCCAATATCAGCGGTGAGCTACAGAATAACCCCTACAGAGTTAGCTAATATCAGCGGTGAGCTATAGAAAAACCCCTATAGAGTTAGCTAATTAGCTAATATCAGCGGTGAGCTATAGAAAAACCCCTAAAGAGTTAGCGGCGAGCTATAGAAAAACCCCTACAGAGTTAGCTAATTAGCTAATATCAGCGGTGAGCTACAGAATAACCCCTACAGAGTTAGCTAATATCAGCGGTGAGCTATAGAAAAACCCCTATAGAGTTAGCTAATTAGCTAATATCAGCGGTGAGCTATAGAAAAACCCCTACAGAGTTAGCGGCGAGCTATAGAAAAACCCCTACAGAGTTAGCTAATACCAGCGGAGAAATGAGCCTTTCGTACGAGGGTCAAACAGCAGAAGACTGAATGTTGTGCAGGAAGAGAACTCCAAACAACTGCACTGTCTAACAACCTTCCAACATTTACTCAAACGGTCAGACAGGTGTGAGCATAATCTCCCCCTGGGGCACCTTACACCAGGTTCTGTGGTTCTGAAGAGATCTTGGGCTCATTCAGCCCAACAACATGGAGCCAGTAGGAACAGCTGCAGCATGGAATGACAAACGAGCAGAAGCCAGTCTGCGTTTGCTTTGCTGCTTCTGCAACAGGCACAAAAACACCACGCCATCTATGAAAGCTGTCTTTTTATTCTGGAACACAAAAACAGTAGAAGGTGGGAAATGTGTTCGTTCCCAGAAGACTCTCTGCACAGAAACAGACTGGAATTCTGTAGAGCCACACAAACCAGCTCCATGCAAATGTGTGTACAACCACTTTGTTTATGCAGAAAAACAATCTGGTCTCACATGAAGAGATGCACAACACTGCAGCGTGTGTTTGCTGTCTGACCTTGTGTTCAATCATGCTGCTGATCTCAGGCAGGAAGTTTTGGCTGATGACACGGTAGAGGTGGCGGTCCTGTGGGGAACTTTTGTCCTTGATGCGCTCTGCCAGACTGATCCACTGTTCCTCCGAATCACACACAAGGGACCAAGCACCTCGCCTATGACCTGCTAGTGGCAAAGAGCAGAGACCCGGGATTACTGATTTAAAAGAGACGAGACTGTTGGACGGGACACAAATAAGCTCTTTCACTACAGCTGTCACCAATACTTAAATACTTCAGACTTTATTACCTGAGGTTGGAGGATCATCATCCAGTCCATTTTCTGTATTCACCTCTGTCGCTTCACCTTCACCATCACTAAAAGCAAAACAACAGAATTAGGGCAAGACTTAAGAAAGGTAAACAACAATCAAACAAGCACACCTGAGTAAAATGCTTCGAGTCAAATCAGCCGCAGAGTTTCAGAAATGTCCCAATAACTCAAAATTACACACAATTTATATCAAGCAGCCATCTACGGTTCAGCCTATGTCCAGAACATTTAAGCCTTTGTTCTAATGAAAATACATAAAAACTCTAAATAAGGGACGGGCAAAAACCAGGTGGCAAACAGCCACAAAGTTAATATTTCAGTTGCATAATCAGCACATCTGTGCAGCACATGCACCGATCCACATGTCACCAAGTCCCCACAGTTGTTGCCTTCTTCACCTGAAACAATAGTCTTCAAACTTTCTCTTCTTTGGTGGTCTTCCCCTTTTTTTCCTCTCTGGTAAAGACAGGTCAGCAGTTTCCCTGTTGGCAGACATAAAAGGGATAAATTAGCTGTTAAATATAACTTTTTCATAGGAAAATTAGATCCTTACCAAGGTTGCAAACAAGCGTTAAGTTACCACTAGATCACGTTTAATCCACCCACCCAGAGAAGTGACTAAGCGTGCTGGATACAGTGAAACACAGATGCAGGCGGTATTTACCCAAACTGCTCTTCCTTTCTCTGAGGTGGCTCTTCTTTGTACATCCGAGTGCCATAAAAGTACCAGTAGAGGGCTCCATTCCCATCCTGCCCCAGGGGCTCCACCCTGAGGCTATCTGCATCCAGCCCCTGAAGGAAAGGTGGGGGGGGGGGGGGGGGGGGGGGTACTTTAGTTATATATATATATATATATATATATAAACTATAAGTTTTAAGTCACGAGTAATTAATGTAGGATATTATCCAGTCCACCGAGGCTCGAAACCAGGGTTTGACAAGAAATTTTAATTTAGTATTAGTCTAAGAAGACTAAAAGTCTGATCAGTTTTAGTCACAATTCAGTCAAATGTGTTCTTTTTATTTTAGTGAACTAAAATATGTGTAATCTTCGTCTGCTGCAGTCCTTTTCTACCTGTGTACAGGAACTGTTAGCCACGCCTGCTTGAAACTGTGAAGGAATATGTAAAATTCACATTTCACACTTTGGATCAATAAAACTTTATACTAATAATTATTAATGGAAAACACCAAAATGAGCACTGACGATTAGAAATTGTGCCTCTCAATATTAATAAATAAACAAATCTGTATGATATGCAGTAATAGTTGTAAACATGACAGGAAAGACTAAAATGTGTTCCTATGCAGACGTAAACTAAAGGTAAGAATGGTTTTCAGGTGTTTTTATTAGACTGACTGATCACCGCGGGACACCTGAACGTTTCTCCTCACAAACACATCACTACAACACCGAACGCTGATCACAACAGCAAGACCGGCGCCACAAAAAACAGAAACGATTAGACAACAAGATGCACATCGCGCTGCTCCATGGTTCAGTTGGCTGAGATCCAGCACCCCCGCTTGCTGCTAACAACGTCGTAACACTTGTATAACCAAGGGAAACCCCAGATGTGTACTCACCAAACTAATACTTCTCAGATCGTCTCATCTACCATGTTTCCTGTCAGCCGTGGACATTTTCTCCCTTCAGACTTAACTGTTACCAGTATGAACATCAGTACATGATGTCTGGTTAGCGGTAGCTTGTTCAAACAGTGTCTGGCTCCAGATTCTGATTGGTTCTTTTGTCTAGTCTCGCCTGTTCCATTTGCTGATTGGTTCTTTGGTGCCGTCTTCCATCTTTTCCGGTTTTAGATTTTCGTTGCAGTCTCTTAATCGTCAAATAGTAAATGGCCTGTATTTAATATAGCACCTTCTAGAGTCCTGGAACCCCTCAAAGCGCATTACAACACAGTCATTCACCCATTCACATCCTGGGTATGATGAGCTACACTGTAGCCACAGCTGCCCTGGGGCCACTGACAGAGGTGAGTCTGCCGTATATAGGCGCCACCGGTTCCTCCGAACACCACCAGCAGGCAAGGAGGGTTAAGCGTCTTGCCCAAGGACACAACAAAAGTACTGGTCAATATTCGTCATTATTTAGTCTTTACTGGCTTTTATGTTTTTATTTAGTTTTAGTCTGCAAAAATTCTTTTGTCACGGGAAAAAAAGAAAACTTTTAGTCAACGAAACCAACGCTGCTGGAGACACACGCTTAAGTGTTCATTCTGTTGAAAGCATTTATCAACTGAAACTTGTTGCTCAGGAAAAATAAATAAATAAAAAGCACATCTACTGGCAAACCTTTAGACACCTACACAAAAACATGTCCACAAGACAATCCTGAACACTAGAGAAATGCTCCGACTTACAAAACAAAAACGTTACTTCCATTTCAACAAGCACGTAGGAGAAGAACGTTTTCAGCTTGGTAGCGTACCTTAAGGAGGTCAAAGACATCAGCAGCATCCAGACGGTAGTCACAGAGCCGATGCAGCAGCTCCACCTGAGTGCGAGGTGGAAGGCTCTCAAACGGACCCTCGTGAAGTGGGTTGGCCTTCCCTTCTTCTAGTTCCCATCGGTAGCTGATGATGTCCTCCAGGTAACTGTTGGATGTCTGAGGGCTAACACACACACACACACACACACACACACACCTCAGATTGCTAATGATGCTAATGTAAGCTGACTGAGTGGAAATAATGACTAATTGGACTAATCAGATTTTAAGGCTGAAAAAGTACTTTTATACTACCAAAACCCAGTTCTGCTGACTACTTTAAATACACTTAATATGATTCTGCACAAATTCTATGACAAACCTTTATTTTTGAGATGTGAAAAGATGCAAGACTGAGGAAACAATACTGTACATCAATGGGAGCAGGGTTCATATCTCAGTTATGGGTGGTTTGAGGTATAGAAAGATGAGTACAGAACCGGACGGACCCGTGCCTGAAGGACTTGGGGATGGGTTTTATCGGAGAATCTCAACAGAAAAAGGGAAAATAAAAAAGTGGCTCATCTTGAAAAAGCAGTGTGCACTTTTCACACAGCTGCAGGCTCTCCCTTCTCACCACCCCATCTCTCTCCTCCCGTTGACTCCGACGTCCTCCCTCCACCTTTCCCCTTGCTCCGGCAGAGCGTTTAACGCATGCAGATGAAAAGGGCAGCTTTGTGAAAGGCCAGCAGTGAGCAGCCACCCCAGGATGCCAGTGCCTGTCCAGTCCAATAAAGCAGCCTGTCTTCCTGTTACTGACTGCCTGCGTGGAAAACTGGATCCCTCCTGCCTCTGTGCTTATCTTTTTCATGTACAACTGTCACCCTCTCCAGTGATTGAGTCAAACATGAGCGACTAACACACGTAGGTTTGAATACCAACCTCTGCTGTGTAGTCACTTGCTCCCACGTGTTTAAGGTGGTAGAGATAAGTTTGAGTGGATAAAACACTTTCATATCTAGCAAACACAGAGCATGATTACATCTCATCACCTTCCACCACCTTAACACGGTCTGAGTAAGTCCTTACCCCTTTACAAATTACGGTGACTCACACTTTCAATGGAGCTTCCCGGGAGCTATGACTAATATCAAATGTAATATAATACTCGGTTCATTTGTGAGTTTTCCTCGCTGTCCCTCTGACAAGCCTCTACCGCTGTCCTTCGATGGCTAAATAGAATTTGCTACAGAAAAACAGAATTTAACGGACATATCTAATCAGATTGTTGTCAGCATAAAAGAGATAAAATAAAAAGCTATTTGATGTGTCTAAGACTTTTTAGCATGGACATTTTTTATCCAATGTAAACAAAACAACATTTATATCCAAAGAGATCATAATATTCTAGCTTTTCAAATACTGTAAACTCACGTGATGTCTCTGCGTTGGTAACATCCTTGTAACAAACGGGTGATGAGGTCACCAAGGAAGCCAAAATTCTGCTCTAACAAGGCCTTCTCAAGCTCCTGTTGACAAACAAACAGACAAACAGGATGTATGAAACAAAGGAAATACAAAGTACTTCTATTTTACTGACAAAACTCTGTTAACGTGTAGGTCAGCTGCGCAAGTCCAACAAGAAGGAATCCTATAAAATCAACTTTCAAGATTCAATGAAACCAAATGTATTCACAGAAAAACAACAACAAACGTAGTAAGTGAAATAAAACAGAGACGAAGAAAACAACATAATAAGTATATGTATGTATGAGTGAGTTTGCGCCGTATTGCATTTCTCTGATATTAACCAAATCTAGCTCAGAGTGATGAGCTACTAGGGTCGTCACGGTGTGAAAATGTAACCTCACGGTTATTGTGACCAAAATTACCACGGTTTTCAGTATCATCGCAGTATTTTTTTAAACGTGTTACATTTTCACACAATTAAATAAACCCTGTATGTCAGGAAATATTGTCCTCAGTTTGTGTCTAAATTTGGCCTAAAATGTGTTATTTTGTAATTATGTTGTTTATTTGTTTACATTTTCCCCCTTTAGTCTTTAAAATACCAATATTTGCCCATAACTCCTTATTTTTTGTCTGTTTGATGTCATCATTTAAAAATATTAGACCAGATGATACTCAGTACTCAAGTAGCCTTCTAATCAGATACTTTTTTACCCTTACTTGAGTAATAAACCCTATATCAGGAAAATATTGTCCTCGGTTTGTGTCCTTCCAGTGAGCTTTGCAGATGTGGGAAAATGTCATCAGGCAGTAATCGTTGTTAAATTCATAATTATTCTCGGAGAGAGACCAACTCTTATCTGCCCCTGGGAGCCCCGTAATGCATAGCGTCATTTCAACATGGCGGTGTCCGCGACACGGTTTATATGCAGGTAGCGGCGCTGCGGCTGCTTTATATAGCGACTCGTTGCATTCTCCCTCAACCCAAATCCTCGGATCACGCATTTTAGCTAAAACGCTAACGTTAGCTTGCCTTGCGTTGACTGTAGAGTTGTGGGTGATGGTCACGCAGATGTGTCATGAGATTTGAAGCGTTGCTGCCTTTCACAGACACTTTTTCTGCGCGTGCTGCAAACAGGATAGCTGTCTTCTATCAGCTGTCCCTCGGCATTCTTCAGATATCCAAAAGATGCCCGTACTTCCCACTTTGTCTTCTTTGAGGGATAATAAATGTCCTCCTGAGCGCTGCCGTCTCCTCCTTTGGCCATTATTTCAGCTTTAGCTTAAAGAAAGTTTTGGTTGTAAACAACAAAGTGCGCATGTGCTGCCGGCAACTTCAGCAGATGATACGGTGGCTGGTAAGGGTCACCGCGCCTACACCGCAGCCACGGTAATCCACCGAGATAATATAGTTTTTTTTACAACAAGACGGTTATTGTTATTGTCAACTTTTTTACCGGGGTTTACCGCTACACCGGTTACCGTGACAACCCTACGAGCTACAAGCAACCCAATGCTTCCATATTTGAATCGTCTTCTATTTCCTGTGTTTTCAGTCTTCTTACTGGATGGGGTGGAGTCATGTGACTCCATGTGACTAGCTGTGACGTGGACCCTACTGGTCTGTGTGCCACAGCTTCTTTAAGGGACATGAACATCAGTAACCTATCATGTTTTTTCATTTTTCTGTTACCGAATTTAACGACATGGAAAAAAGACATCAGTCATGATTTTCGGTAACGATACATTTCGTTTCATCGCCCAGCCCTAGTCAGAGCCATCACGTCTCAGGCACTGAACCGTATTCAAACTAACAAACCTTCATGTAAACTGTGGTGACAGATCCTTTAAAGACAAATATGATAATTATAGGAGGTGGGCAATAATCAGAATAAGCTATGAAGTTCTATTGAATCCTAAGCATTTACAGACATAAATTAAGGGTTTGGCAGGATGTTTGTAGGTAGGAAGAGCTTAAAGACAAATCCAGGTCTGACTCTGTTTTGAGGTGTGTGTGTGTGTGTGCGTGCGTGCGTGCGTGCGTGCGTGCGTGCGTGTGTGTGTAACCAAGTGTTGCCAGTACAATGACCAGAGACCACACTGTGGCAGTCACTCATTTAACTTTGCTCTGCAGAATACAAACTAACATTTGAATCTTTAAATGCTGTAAACGATGATAATTGTGCTGACAGAAGGTAAGATGGCGGAGGTGGACGGCAGGAGAGAAAGGTGGAATTTGCCACGTCTCATTAGGGTTTTTGCCAGAGGTAGTTGGGCAGCAGCGGTGAGTCGCATTTAGCCATGACCCTCTCCTGCCTGGCATTGTGCTTCAACCATTCAGGTTTTGTCAAGCGGCAGTAACTGGCAGAGCCAACTCCAAAAGACCTGAAAGCACTAAGGAAAGATGGCAGGCAGCAGCGGTCGTGCCCCCTCCCCACCTCCGCTGACCAACCAAGACCTAGCACCCCATACGGTTTCCCAGCATGCACTGTTCTCCCTACTGATATCCAAAGGCTCTGGAGTCCAACAAGAGAAGACAGCGGGGACAAAGGGAGGCTGGAAATGCTAATTCAGTCTTCCATTAGCAGAGTCCATTTGACTTCTGGGACTATTTCTATCCAAAGCAAACGCCTCAGCCTAGAGACCAGTCTATCTGCAGGAAAAATAACTTCAACTGTCCACTTTGTTTACACTCACTCTTCTCACTTCTTCATCAATACTAATGTAAACCTCCTTCCTAGGTTGCCCTCTCCCAGTGACATGTAGGCAGTTTGACACTGGTGCAGTAACTTGTTTTCAAGCTGCCTCTCCCTCTCCCTCTCCCTGTAACCTAACTAAACTCAGAGGTCACCAAATGTCAGCATACACACCTCCTGGCCATGAAGGATGACGAAAGCCAGGAGCCAACAAGTCAGCACGATGAAACACAGGAGGGGAGGAGGGGAGAGGGTGAAAAACAGGATAAGATAAAGGCTTCAGCTTCAAGTTAGAAAAGCGGAAAAGAGAAAGACTGATGTCAGTTTGTTCCTCATTCTGACTCAAGATGGTCTAAAATAATGTAGAAGTTGATGACGAGAGCAAAACACTCTAGCCTCGAGGACTAAGAAGCTTGTTACAAATCTGAAAAGATGAACCATCCAGGTGAATATTCCAGGATTTTGATAATATCTAAAGTTTGAAGGATGAATCTTGTTATGCAGCACAATTTTGCATGCACTGTTGTAATCAGCATAAATGAAAGATAAAGGATCATATTGTTACCGTGACTCGTGCAACCATAACGAATCGTCTCTGAAGAGAAAGACTGAGCAATGTCTTACTAGCTTGTGTTTTTCCTGGCGATAGGGGGCAGTACATACCTAAATCATTGCAAGCAAGCAAGTGGTATTTTTGTGTTTGAGTAAGACATTACCAACGGAAGGCCATTAGGGTCAAAAATCCTTTGGTGCGCAATTTTTGAATATGTACATGGTTTCCAGTTAAGTGTCTATTAACTGATAAGGGGCATCAATACCCAAATAGACATTGTGGGAAACGTAGTTATAGGTTACAAAGCCGGGCATCAACCACCGGGCATATGGATATGTCCAGGGATTCATGGTAAAACTATACGTTGCCACGTTAAGGAGCTGATCATGATGAAAGACTTTTGACTCATTACAAACCAAATGAGAATGAACTGCATGTATGGTCACTAGGTGATAGTTAAATGGCCTGTATTCAATAGGGCCTTCTAGGTTTCCACAGCCCCCCAAGGCACTTTACAACACAAACAGCTAGTGATCGGTAACAGCTAAGCTTGCAACAGTCAAATCCACAATGAAAACAGCCACAATAAACATGATAAAACTGAAATGAAATATGACTTATTGATATTATTTATCCATTTATTTCACCTTCAACATCGGTTTGAATCGACCTGACCTGTGCAGAGTGGAAACATGTGCACACTGCAAATGATGTGAAAACTAAAAAATAAAAGGATTGTGGGATTTAAATTCTTCCTAGACAAAAAATGAAACGTTACTGTAGATTTTGTACACCGAGGGGTGACCTGCCTTAGCTACTCTGCTTCTTCAGAGAACTTCATACCAAAGACAACCAATAACCATAATGCTTGATGTCCACAAGTTTTGTCCTTCAGCTGTGAGCCATTTTCTGCTCAAACAGAAAACAAAACAGACTCACTAAAAATCTTAAACCATTTGCTGATCCAGACATTGTTTGTTCATGTTATCCAGCTGCTGATACACTCGGATCATAAATATTTTGTGTGCATATCTTAGTCCAAAGGCACGTGTCCAAAGGAAGCACACAGATCCTGTGTTGTGCTCTTTTCTACTCCAGGTCCCCCATCAGCCGGTCCTCAGGCAAAAGAGACAAACTGCACTTTGATCACACGTTGTAAAAGCCTGGGGCCACAGCTGGGGAATAAGATCTGAGAACAGCACGTCAGGTTGGAGGGCTTGCTGCTGCCCTTGGACTAACACTACCACAGAACATCTCAGATGGCAAAAATAAATAAATAAATAAATAAATAAATGTGTTTCGTATGTGGCCTTTCTTCAGCCATACACTGGAACATGATGAAAAACACCATGGGCAACAACCGAATATGAAGAACATGAAGAAATTAACACGCTTCATTTTAATCACTAGCATGGCACAATGCTAACGCTTGCTACTTCCATTCATACACGTGTTGCAGCAGAACAAACTCTATATAGTACTTTGACTCATATTAATGATCCATTAGACGCTACGATAAGAGCTGGAAGGGCGATAAGACTGTACACAAGCATAAATCATGGTGCTACACAGTCAGATTTATCACTAAGCTAATGATTTAGACAAAACAGGCTATTCAGTCCCCATGTTCACACAAAGACTGGACGGTGAGTAAAGGCTTAGTCAAAAGGTGTGTCATCACTTTAGTCCTCTGTGGGCCTGGCTCATAATCAGCTATTCGCCCCGGAGGTATTTTTGCCACCTCTCCTAGCAGAATCTCTTGTTGTTTTACTTTTACCGGCCATACCTCTTCCCCCCCCCCCCCCCCCCC